AATAGTTTATTTTGCAAACATGCTTGAGAGAACAAAAATAATAATTATGATTTTTTTTTCACTCTGGATTTTCCTCTGGCACACAATGCTAACACTTCTTTGTCAGAAGCTGTTACAGGAGATTTGTACAAGAGGCAAACGGGAAGGTTGTTGGTTGAAGAAAGCAAATTTACATTGCTGTTACAGTTTTAAGAGGATTGTCTTTGCTTTTACTCAGTGTTGGTATTTTATTTTGCCTCAGGAAGTTGAAATATTAAAAGTTGAACTTGAAGCTTCTCAAAGACAGCTTGAAGGAAAAGATGAAGCCCTAAGAATTCTACAGAGCGTGGTAGGAGTTGTTCTAAAATCTTTTGGCTAGTTAATGGTTAAGGAAAGAAAGCAAACAAAAAAGCATCTTCCTGCAACTGCCTAAAAGATTTGACTCTTCCCACAGATTTAATTGAGAGCACTAAATCTCCAGGTGTATACAGGCTTCACTGTTGGAATTTAGTACTATTCCTGTGTGGATCTGTTGCAGTCATTCGAGGAGGCTTCAAAGTTGTAGCAAAATCTCATGACTTTATCCTTGAAGAGCTAGCAATTAGACTGAAGGAACGCTGCCTTTGCAGTCTTCTTATTTTACAGATTTTCCAGTGTTAGTGATTCTGCTGCAAAGCAGAGCTGTTTTCAGTTCACTGTTCCATCTATCAATTTAGAGGATGGTATGCATTAAATATTATGTCACTCTTTCATTCACAGTTTATAGCCCTTTTGTTTACAGTCACAATCCACGTTGTTGAAGTTAATTGGTCTTTTCTAACCTACGCGAATAACCCACTTACATTTCTGCTGCTTTTTACCCTCAGGCATTCACAGTAAGTTATGCTCAGATCAAACTATAAGGCTGTTGTAACCTTGTCTTTTGAGAGTTGATTTTGTGATACGGAAAAGTCCTTGAGAAGCTATGATCTCTTTTCAAATTAATGCTGATTTTCTAGAATAGAAAAGACTAAGAGATGGAAACAAGTTTGTTTTGTAGCTATTTAGTATCTTGAAATTACAACGCACAGAGACCTAGAAGTGGACTGTTGGTTTTTGTAGTTCTTCACGCTTCTGGTTAGCCCAGCACTTTGATTTATGGTCATATAAAATTGAAAATATTACTTAATTACAGTGTTTGTTAAATTTGTGCTTTTTTCAACAGGCAGTGTTTAATAAAGCCACTATGCATACAAAAGCAATGCTTCAAAAAACTGAGGAGGAAAAGAGAGCTTTAGAAAAGGTAAGGGTAAGAGTTTTCTTTACACCTGTCCAAAGTTTAATGTTTCTGTGTAAAATCATAATAGGTCATTACTCCTGACTTGTTTTATGATGGAATAAGGAGTGGTTCTACTGTTTTGTTTGTTTTTAATTGATATAGATCTAGCATTACCTTTGGATTTTTTGAAAGTGTTCTTATTCTTATTTAGTAGAAAGGGAAAATAACTGATTTATCACTTTCCTGATCTGAATATTTTCATCTTCTGCTTTGTACAGGCAATACCTACAAGATTCTAGGTGTTTGTTGTTGTTGTTGTTCTTTGTTTTGTTTTGTTTTTCTCCTATATCTTTGACTGGTCTTTGTCATGAGCATTACAGTGCTTTGTTTATACTGAGTTGCTTTATTTCCTCAGCAAGATTTATCAACAACAAATTTCCAAACAAGCCTAAAACCAGAGTATTTTAATAGTGAAGAAGGAGAGGAGGAAGACATTGAGCTGCTTTGTTAATCTCAAATTTATGTGTGATTTCTTTCTTATGTGGTCTTCACATAGAACAGTAAGGGAGGCATTTTAAAAATCAGAAAAAAATATAGCATGATGTTTTTGTTATAAGGCAATTATTAGCTCAGTCTTTCTTGTGTTTGGTACCAGATTTATTTAAAATAAAACACACACACGTATTGTTCTCTGGCTGCCAAAACTCGGGACTAGCAGTTCACATCTCTCATGTTCATTGTCAGGCTTGTAACAAACTGCTGCTGGTTTGTTTTGTCTCTACAGGAAATAAATACTTTGCAATGGGAAATTGAATTTGACCAGGATAGGTTTAAAAACATAGAAGAGACATGGACAGAAAAATATGACAGGTATTTTACATGTTATGTATCCTTGGGAGTCTTAATGGCATTGAATACTACACATTATCTGTCTTATGTTCTATGTTTCATATTACCAGATTTTTTTTCCCACATTTTCCTAACTTTCTGGATTTGGGAAGGTATTTTTCATACTAATTACATTTTTTTTATGTTTCAATTAAAACTACTAAAATGAATAACTCTTATTTTTTTAGTGTGTGTACAGATTGTCTTTGTTAGACTGAGCTTTCACTTCAGTCACATTATTTTATTACTTTATTATGTTAGCCGGCTGGAACCAGATTGTCCTTATTTGCTTTAATGGAAATGAGGCATAAAAACAATGGTATGTGCATGCATGTGGAAATACTTTTCTTCCCCCTCTCACCAGGTATAAGCATGAGCATGAGTAAAATGGAATGTTTTTGAGAGAGGTTGGTTAACTGGTTTTGTGATTAAATAGAGTTTTCTGTACTGACAGCAGGTGTTGCCTCCCTAGGCAAGCAGAAGAAGCCAGAGGCACTAAATAAATTATGCAATAAGAGATATTGAAAACTGACCAGCAGGCTCCACTTATTTAAAGGTGTAAGTGATCTCTCGGAAGTTTATGCAGCAGAGTTACAGTTATTTTAGTGGAGATTTTTATTCCAAAAATTTCAAACAGAATCAAAGAATAAGCCAATCATGTCAAATTGTTCACTTGTAAGAAGAGTTTTGTGAAGGCGATTTGTCTCTTTTTAGTTACAATTGTTAAAGAACACCTTTTGGAAAATGCTTTGGATCTCCTAATTTAAAAACACAGCAAGGGTTGCCAATTTTCTCTCTCTCCCTTTTTTTCCCCCTCTGCAGTAACAAAGCAAGTATTACCAGCTGAAAGCTAGAGATTGAAACAAGGCTTTAGAAAGCTGTGAGTAGCAGTAAGTCATGAGCTTGCTCATGAGTTGAGGCAGAATGTGTATTATTTTCCTTTATTTGTCAAAATGAAAATGTTTCAGGTTACTAGTCAGCTTTAAACAAAACCCTGGAGCTACAGAATGGTGTGTTTACTGACAACTGAAGAGATGTACAATGAAAAAGTGTAATTGCTTCAAATTGAGGACATTGCCACTTTTCTATTTAAGAGGGAAATACAAAAGTGCCAAAGAAAAATGTATTGTGCATGCACATTGTATGCTCTCATGTCATAAAGCTTAAAAGTCCAGCTGTTCTCTCGAATGGTATTTAAAGGTACAGGAAATGTACTCTTAAAAATTAAGACCAGAGCCTTACTGTCATGCGTTCAATAACAATCTTGTATTTTGAAGTGGCAATTTGCTAGCAAGTGTTTCAGGAGTTCACAGTTACAGATTTTATCAAATGTGACACTATAGCTCACCTCTTCCTTAAGCTCTGCAGTTTTGCACATGTTATGTTTAGATATGAATGATTTCTTTCTGCAATCTTTTCATCAATCCTAATTCCAGTTTGCAGAAATATTCAATGGAGTGTTTTAATAGGCCAGTGACTTCTTTCATTTGCATGACCTTTTTAATAATTATGTTAAACGTGACACAGCCTTTCTCTTAATTTCTGCAGGATATATTGTGAGAATGCAGCTCTTAAGGAAACATTGAAACTGAGAACAGAAGAAGTTAGAATTCTTAAATCTGAAAATGCAAGTAAGCCAGCAATAGCTGTTCCTCTTAAAATGCTGTTTTTCAGGAATAATTGAGAGCTTAACTGTGACTACAGCTTTCTGCTAGGATAAGTCCCATATGTTAATGGCAGCTAGTGTTAGTGGCTATGCAGGAACCCCCTTTAAAAACACAGGTAGTGCCTGTTTCCTTTGTCACACTGTCTCTTGAACTAAACATTTCATAGAACAATAGCAAAAGTTGGGTATGCAGCTTAGAGTCCATCAGATCTGAAGGAAACACACGTATCTTATCTTATTGACTTGGTGACGCACTGGGTGTGGAGGGAAAGCACCACTCCGTGTTCCTTAATGTCCTGGAAGAAGGAACACTGGCCAAGACAGCTAGTCTTCTGGCTTCTTGCTTCTGCTACTGTGCAAATTACCATTAGGTGGCTTTAGCATCTCCATTTACAGATTCCAAGAGCAGGAACTTTGGGGTATTTAGCTTGTCATCTTTAAAATGGGTGGTGCTGGTGGTGCAGATATCTCTGTTCCCTTATTTTGAGCTTCTACATAGCTTTAAAAAAAAGCTGAAATACATAAATATTTTCCTAATATTGTGCTTTTCTAAAAGACCACCTGGCTTAGTTGCAAGTGAAAAAACAGGTGGGTGTGTAATACTGAGGAAAAGTAATATATGAGGTAGTGTGTCTGTAAACGAGTCATCTCCAGGAAAATATAGAAGGCAACTAGGATATGAGTTTTTAGATATGTTTAGTCTCCTCATAATCCCAAATTGATGCTTAAACCATAAAACTGCTTCATTCAAATGTAGTTGAACACATTAAGAGATCAGAACTGCCAGCTTTTAATTATTTTCATTTTTTTATTTCCTAGTTTTGAATCAGCAGCGCTTGGAATTTCTTGCAATGCTTGATGTGAAACAACAGAAGGTTATTCAGGAAAATATGTCCTGGAGTAAAAGTGGCCTTACAGATGTTACAGGTCTTGAAGTAAGTATGGAGTCTGTTTTTCATAGCAACTAGCTCAAAGATACTGTTTATATTCAAAGTACATGTTGCTAAATTTTGCTTACTGATTATTTAACTGTTTCCTTGGACTTGATTCTAGCAAATTAAAATATGCCCTTGTGTGTCTCTGAATCAGGTTTCTAGTTTTTTGGTGCTTTAAGGCTTGTATTTTATAAAAGAAGAGTAGACAGAAGAAGCATCAGGGCATCTTTCACAGGCCAGTGCCCTTCTTTGTCTTTCTAATCTTTTAATTCCTGATTCCCTACCTATGATGTTTCTTTAATGAGTGGGGGAAAAAAAGAGTAATGAGGTCTGCAGAGAGCAGCATAAACAGGCTGACAATTTTTGCCTTTAGGTTATCTTTGCTTGAACTATTTAGATTACTTTATTTGAGCAAGTTTCCGATTGCTGGGAAATGCCCTGCTAACCTCACTGAACTGTCAGGTGATCACCAAGAATCCATTATATATGTTACAAAGTCATATGTCCCAGACTGCTGTTTGGAAGTCTGTATTACAGGTTTTCTTTGCTTACAAGATAAAAAAAAAAAAAAAGCAAACTATGATATGAAACATTAATTAATGTTTGTGGAAGTGTTCAAGCTGGCAAGAGCACACTCTAAGACTTTCTGTATTTCTTTGATATCCACTTCAAAGTGATAACTGCTGGGGATCAATATTTACAGGGATTATTTTACATATGGATTTACTGGAATGTAGTCATGGCTTTTTGTGTGCCTGAAAGCACACTGCTTATCTCGATTTTCTTGAGCATCCCTGTGTGGGTAATAGAAATAACCCCACATGAATAAGAACTGAAATTTTTAAAGTCCGTCTCCTGTGGTGCCTTTGTGATGGTGAGTTTATATTTGAATAGATAATAGGCATAAATAGTATCCCCCAAAGTGCTATTTTTGGGATAGATGTGAGATTAGTACTTAAAATAAATTTCATGCTTGTCATTTTGAGTCAGAAGAAATGATGTGTGAATCCTTATGGCCTGTCTTTTCTGGCCCTTACACTCCTATTGTGGTCTCAGGATGTTTTGTTGGTAGCTGTCTGGCATCTCTTGGGTTGTTTTCTGTGTGCGAGTAGTTACTTAATTGGTGATTTGATTTTGCATTTAAAGCTGGCAGTTCTTGGAGCCTGCACCTGCAGCACTTCTGGAGGGCAGCCTTGTTCCTGTGCTAGAATGTCAGCTGCCACTCGAAAACAGCTACTTCAGCTCAAACAAGAGGTAATGCTGCCTCCCGTGAATGTGAACAAGCAGAGGGGGGTGTGTGCTCAAAACCAAATAAAGCCATAAACACCCTCCTTGCAGCTTAGGTGAAATAATATATGCTTTTCAGAAATACGTGCTGTCTGTAAGACCCTAACTTTTGCTGGTGTAGAGCTATAATATAAATGAGTTTTACATCATGAGTTTACTTAATGAGTTTGCTGAACGCTATAATATTTTCTGTTTTTTTCTTTTCCTTTTTCCTTTCACCCATATATTTTAAATATAAAAAATAGAGAGTCAAAAAGTATAATTTTGCAATCTGAGTGTGGACTATCACTGAAAGGGATGGCTTCCCTTCTTCTTGGCAGTGCATTCCACCTCTTCCTTTGAGTTGGCGTCAGCATTTCTAAGAGTTTGTAGCCAGCTAGATCATGGAGCTCGTCTTGCTAAAAACTAATTACATAACACTCAAGTCAATAAAATGATTTTTAAGCTCTGAAAGTTTTGAATTTAGTTAAGCTTACAGGTTTAGATATTATGGATTTCCTTGCTCATGGTCCTAATGCAGATGTTCCACTTGAAATGTTAATTTTGAAAGTAATTGTTGCTATGTTCCTGTGGTATTTCCATTTAAAAATGTATTTCTTTAGGTTAGAAAGAAAGCATTTGGTTTGGTTTCTACCATTCCCCTGATGAAATATATTTAAAATTTGCCTGGCTTCTCTTCAATCCCTCTTTGCTTGTATAGGCCTGCCTTCGGCATCCCTATGTGAACTGACAGCATAAAAGTTCTGACGTGTTAGCGGCTTAATCTACCTTTTAAATCTGCAGTTTCTTTCAAATTGTTTAATATACTTTTTTTTTCTGAATTATAACCAGATTGAACTTCTAAAGAAGAGTAAAGATGAAGCTTATGTAATGGCAGATGCCTTCAGAATTGCATTTGAGCAGCAGCTAATGCAGAGAAAGGACCAAGCCCTGAGGCTTGCAGAAGTGAATAAGATTAGAAGGGAAACAAAATTTATAAGCTGGAGACGTCTGAAAGAGGATGGTAACTGGGCATGTTGTATAATTGTTACTGTTGAGCAGGGCAAAAGCAAGCTGACAAGTAGCACAGGCAAACTCTCTTGCAGATCAAATGTTTGGCAATGGTTTAATTGCTGACTGAGGCTTCTGAAGAACCAAGGAAATGGGAACAAGGTTATATGAAAACTGGAAATACTTTAAACAGTGTGTCGTATAGTTCTGGTGGAGTCTTCCCATATGTGATACAGGGTATCTGTGTGCAAGTGGAATATTACAGTATTCATTATATAACTCCAGTGCTACACATCTGTATTTATCACTCTAGGCTTTAGTGTAGCCTTTTTCATTATACAGTCATGAACCATATTTGGTTCTATGTTTCAACACGCATATTTCCGAAGTTGAATGTGCATTAATATTTTTTTTAAGTTTTAGAAAGTTTAAAAAACTCTTTATCATTTTTTTCTGCTTACCAAGTGCGTTTAAAAAAAAAAAAAAAAAGAGAGAGAGAGAGATTAAAAAGAGTTATTGCTTCACTAGAACCAAAGTGTATTCTCCATTTAGGAAAATAAGAGCTTTCTTCTCTATTGGCCTGAATTTGTGAAAAGACTATTTAGTCATTAAGTTATAGTAAGGGTAGTGCTGTGTGCAAATTACATACACTGCAAGAAGTCATGTTTTGCATTGCCCCCTTTAGAGCAGGTGGCTCAATATCCTGTTTTACTTGTGTCAATTTTATCCCAAAATAATTTTGTTCTTGTGTGATACTAGAGTTTGTCATTTGTGTTTCAGACAAAATATAACTCTTCTTCTTAGGACATGTGAAGTTGCAAGGAAACAAGAAAAGCCTGGGACAAAAACTATCAGGCCTGCTGTCCTCAGGTGTGGACTGTAGGAAAGTTGAAGAACTGGACAATCCTCATGAAATCCTCAAGATGTTAGTTGATTTGGTTAGTATTTTTCTTTTTAACAGTTCAGCATGAGTACTTAGGAGAAAAAATACAACTACTTTGACTACTTTGTCCTTAGTTTATAAGATAGCTTCATTGTTTTTTTTTTTTTTTTAATAAATACAGCTAAATGACAAAGAAGAGGCTTTGGCTCATCAGAGAAAAGTCAGTTACATGCTAGCTCGTGCAATAGAAATGAAAGAAGGTGCTTCAGAAGAAAATAAAGAAAATAACACTCTGAGGAATTGTCAATATAAACCCTTGCAATCCCAAGCATCGACTAATCTTGTATACACGTACAGGCAAAATCTCAGTTCTCAAAACAGTGTTCGTTCTACTTCCAATACCGAAACATTTGGAAACTCAGTAAAAATGCTTCGAAAATCACATTCTTGGCCATCAGAGACTATTCACTATGAAGAAAATGATTCACATGAAAAAGGAGAGGAAACTGTTGTGATTTCAATATAATCATCAGCTGGGAAAAAAAGATTTTAAAAAAATAATCTTTTGGGAATGCCAACAAAAAGAAGCCTGCAGAAATTAACTTCTTTATTTGTAAAAGTTAAATGCTAATTGGCACCTAATTACCTAATTTTGATTGGCATCTAATAAGGAAACAAAAGAAGAAGAAGAAGGAGAAAAAAAAAAAACAGGAAAATCTATTTTATCATATATCCTGACAGTTTCCTCTGGCCACCCTTCAGCTGGGGACAGTCATGACAAGAATTTTTGTCAGAATTAGGAAAATTACTTAAAATTAATGTAGATTAGAGACTTTTTGCTATAAGGAAAGGTTATTCTTTTACATTCTTTCCCTTGTACAACAGCTGATACCCAAAATAAATTTCATTTGAAAAGTTTAAAACCTGTCCCTGTCCTGTTTTCTGTCTTTAGCAGGTACTGAAAAGAAGGTATACATAAAATATGGAAAGGAAAATGCTGTATTATCCCAATCTTGTAGTTCCCTAAAAATGACACTAGCACTGAACACATTTCACAAGCCTGTGAATGTAAGAAATGGGAGACTGCAATCTGTAGGCTGCGGAAGACTGAATTTGAGTGTGGTTTTTGGAGACTGACTCTATTTTTAATATTTGTTTTGATTGTTTACTAAGACATTAGAATTAAAGATCTTTCTTTAAGAAACAATTCCAGTCTAGAGTCAGACTTCATTTTTAACTGCAGCTTGTTTTGTCTTGCTGAAAAAAAAAAAACTCCTTTGCTTTACTTTTAATCAAATATTGTTGTTTGAATGTTAGAAGGTTTGGGGTTCATTTTTGGTTGGCTTTTGGCGTAATGTGACAATATCTGCCTTGAGAGAACTTGTTGAGTACCAGAAAATGTGACTTGGTGCTCCTCATGGAATCACTCCTTCGCTAATTGGTGAGAAGCTCATCATCCACTAATCAGCGGAGAAGCTGGAAAAACAGCAGTTATTGCCAAGCTAGTTATATGCTTGCTGATGAGTACTTAGCCATCTTCACCCTGATGTTTTGGGTATATAAGGATTGTGAGATATGGCAATCTGATAGAGAGCCACATACTGACTTTGAGCTCTTTTACTAGTTAAGACTATCTGGGATAATTAATCTTTTCTGTTCAAGTTCTAGTGTGAAAGTCTTACATGAAGTCCAAATCTTTTTCAGTAGATGGCTCCTAGTTTATTGGTAGAATAATGTTGCGGCTTTGAGGCGGGTAGGAATGCCCGACAGAAAATTC